TACTCTGTCAACCAGGTTGGAGTGCAGTGGCATGCTCACAGCCACCGAAGCCTCAACCTGCTGGGTTTAGGTGATCCTTCCACCTCAGCTTTCCAAGTAATTGGAGCCATAGGCGTGCACCACCATGCCTGGCTAATTTTTTGATTTATTGTAGAGATGAGGTCTCATCAAGTTGCTCAGGCTGTTTTCAAACCCTTGGACTCAGGCAATTCTCTCACCTCTTCCTCCCAAAGTGCTGGGATTACAGGCATGAGCCATTGCACACAGTGATAACTTTATTTTTATTTGTTATTTTTTTTGAGTCAGAGTCTCACTCTGTTGCCCAGGGCTGGAGTGCAGAGGCTTGCTCACAGCTACTGCAGCCTCAGCCTGCTGGGCTCAGGTCATCTTTCAGCCTCAGTCTCCTGAATAGCTGGGACTACAGGCATATGCCACCATGCCTGGCTAATTTTTTGATTTATTTTAGAGACGAGGTCACATCAAGTTGCCTAGGCTGGTCTCAAACCCCTGGGCTCAGGCAATCCTTTTGGCTTGGCCTCCGAAAGGGCTGGGATTACAGGCATGAGCCACTGTGCCCAGCAGAATCTAGCACAGTAGGCTAGTTTAAGGATTTCCAGCTGCAACTGGAAAAGAGTCTGGTATCTACAGTCTCAACCCAGCCTCTAAATACATGACTCTGAAGGTTGGCCCCTTCTTTCTCAACAGACCCTGTGTTTTCAATGGACTCTGGAAAACTCTAAAAAGGATGAGAAGGTCAAATGTGGGGTGGATGAGAAACCCCATTTTCACAGTCTTTAAGTAAGTGAGTCTTTGCTTTCTTCTCTTTCTCAGTGCACTGCTTCATAGTCCTGCCTGGTAACAAGACTCTGGACAGTCAACCTGGACATACACAGGCGGGACTTGTAGGCACCTATTGTGGAGGAAGATAAGACCTCAATAGGTCAACAACAATTGTGTTAAATATATTAAGGTAAAAGGTCTCAGAGTAAAACTTGCCAAAGCTATAAAACCATAATAACCATGTTACAAAGGCAAAAACTTGCTGATTATGTTACAAAAATCCCTGCTGATTATGTTACAAAAAACAAATGACCATTTTTTTTTGAGTCAGAGTCTCACCCCATCGCCCAGGGTGGAGTGCAGTGGCATGCTCACCTGCACCCCAGTGTTGGCCTGCTGGGCTCCTGCCATCCCTCTGACTTGGCCTTCCAAGTAGTTGGAAATACAGGCACATGCCACCATGCCTGGCTAATTTTTTTTTGATTTATTGTAGAGACAAGGTTTTGCCAAGTTACCCAGGCTGGTCTCAAACCTGTGGGCTCAGGCAATCCACTCGCATTGGCCTCCCAAAGTGCTGGGATGACAGGCTGAGCTACCAAACTCAGTCAACCATGGTTAAACAATTCTGGCAAAATAGATAGCCAGAATCAGTTATTCTGAGCAATGTGGACACACAACCCTCTTAGCACAATAATTCTGACAGTTAAGCTCCTTAACATTGTCCTACATAAAAAAAAACCCAATGGCCCTACCTCTTTACAGACAATAGACGACAGTCTCCCTTTGCCCTGCTTTCCCTCTGCTCCCTTACAGGAAATCTTTGTATCTTTCCTATAATAAATGGACCTTTCTTTTATTTTTATTTTTTATTTTTTGAGTTGGAGACTCACTCTGTTGCCCAGACTGGAGTGCTGTGGCATGCTCCCGGCCATCGCAGCCTTGCCCTGCTGGGCTGTGGCAATCCTTCCACCTCAGTCTTCCAAGTAGCTGGAACTACAGGCGTGCACTATCATGCCCGGTTAATTTTTTTAAAAAAATTTATTGTAGAGATGAGGTCTGCCAAGTTGCCCAGGCGGGTCTCGAGCCCACGGGCTCAGGCAATCCACTCACCTCGGCCTCCCAAAGCACGGGATTACAGGCTGAGCCACCGAGCCCAGCCAGTTGGCCTTTCTTAATTCACTGCTGTCTTGGTAATTCTTTCACCACCCGCACTCAACTCTAGCTTCAACTAGTCGTAAGCACACATCACCTTTGACAATAACCTCCAGGGCCTCGCTGGGGGCTGACCACAGATAGGGACTGCTGCTGTTCCAACCATAGCACTTGTAGCTCCCTGCAAGACTGGTGTTCACGGGACCCAGGGTGAAGTAACCCTGGTCTAGTCCGTCTTGGTTCTGTGGAAGAGGGGCTTCTCCCTCCTTGGCCAGTGAAAATCTATCAAATGAGATGTGTGCTGAGCTGCACATGAAGGAAATGTTCTCTCCTGGCATCAACACAAGACGGACTGTCTTCCTATCTGTAGAGAGGAAGGGTTTTTCATAGAAGCCTAAGAGAGAAGAGAGTGAGCTGTTAGCAATGTTTTTTTAAAAAAATATATTATCTATTGAAAAATTTTATTTTTGTATCAGATGGCTAAAGTGTCAAAAAGGTTAGAGAGACTTACAGCTTACACATGAGTGTGAAAACCCCCTCATCACACTCATGAACTGCAAAAGTAACTATTTTATTTTGAGTCAAGGTCTCACTCTGTTACCCAGGCTGAAAGGCAGTGACATGATCATGGCTTACTGCAGCCTTGACCTTTTGGCCTCAAGTGATCTTTCCACCTCTGTCTCCCGAGTAGCTGGGACTACAGGTGCATGCCACCACACCCAGCTAATTTTTTGAATTTTTGTAGAGAAGAGGTCTCACCAAGTTGTCCAGGCAGTGTTTTTTTTTTTTTTTTGAGTTGGAGTCTCACTCCGTTGCCCAGGCTGGAGTGCAGTGGCACACTCATGGCCACCCCAGCATTGACCCGCTAGTGATCCTTCTGCCTCAGTCTTCCAAGTAGCTGGAACTATAGACATGCACTACCACACCCTGTTAATTTTTAATTTATTGTAGAGATGAGGTCTTGCCAAGTTGTCCAGGCTGGTCTCAAACCCATGGGCTCAGGCAATCCACTTGTCTTGGCCTCCCAAAGTGCTGGAATTACAGACTGAGCCACTGTACCTGGCCAGCATTTTTTTAATTGTCAAAAAAGTTGTTTATATATTTGTCCTGTACACCATGATGTTTTGAAATAGTTATGCATTGTGGAATGGCTAAACTGAACTAATTGACACATCTTACATACTTTTTGTGGCAAGAACACTTGAAATTTTCTGTCTTAGGAATTTTCAAGTACACAATACATTGTTACTGACTATAGTCATCATGATATACACTAGATTTCTCGAACTTATTTTTCCCATGGAACTAAAATTTGGGGCTGGGCACAGTGTCTCACACCTGTAACCCCAGCACTTTGAGAGGTGGAGGCGAGAGACTGCCTAAGCCCAGGGGTTCAAGACTAGCCTGGGCAACTTGGTGAGACCTCGTCTCTACAATACATTTTAAAATTAGCTGGGCATGGTGGCACCTGTAGTCCCAGCTACTCAGGAGGCTGAGGTGGGAGGATCTCCTGAGCCTAGCCGGTTGAGGCTGTGGTGGCCATGAATATGTCACTGCACTCTGGCCTGGGCAGCAGAGTGAGACTTCAACTAAAAAAAAAATAACTAAAATTTTATATTATTTGGCCTGCATCTCTCCAGTCCCTCATCCCCCACGACTGGTAACCATAGTCTACTGTCTATTTCTATGAGTTCAAATTTTTCGATTCCACTTATAAGTGAGATCATGTAGTATTTGTCATTCTGTGTCTGACTGGCTTATTTCACGTAACATAATGCTCTCCAGGTTCATCCACGTGGATGCAAATGTCAAGGTTTTACTCTTTTAGGACTGAATAGCACTCCCTTGTGTATATGAGGGGATTCCCCAAACAAGAATTTATTCATAAAAAAATTGTATATTTATTCTCACATGTTTAAACTTCAGTCACCTTCAAAGTACTCTCTGTTTGATGCAATGCATCTATCGAGACACTTTTTCCACTGCTCAAAACAGTTTCTGAACTCATCCATTTTGATGTCTTTTGTGCTTCTGCCATTTTTTGTTTTACCTCTTCAACACCAGCAAAATGCTTCCCTTTGAGGACTCTTTTCATCCAGGGAAACAAACAAACAAAAAAGTCAGTTGGGGTAAGATCGGGAGAATAGGGATGGTGGAGCATGGGGGTCATGCTGCTTTTAGCCCCAAACTGCTGAACACTCAGTTTGGTGTGGGCAGGTGTGTTTGTAAATCACCCATTATGAAATGGGCAAATGTGTTGAAAAAAATCTCCCCACAAAAAATCATTGTAGTCAAACTCAGCCTCTCACAACAATGCTAGCTGGTCTATGGATGCTGACGGGTTCCTAGAACACTTACCTAGCAGGAGAAGACTGTACTAAAAGGTGCCTGCCCTCCAAAAGATAATTCTGCTTTTTTGGGGGTTCTTGCATCTATACCACATTTTCTTTAGCTATTCATGTATTGAGAGACTTTTAGGTGGTTTCCATATCCTGGCTGTTGTGAACAGTGCTGCCATGAACGTGGGCATGCAGCACCTAAGATTTTGTTCTTTCCTCTTTATCTTTGCTCCCTGAGTTGCATCTGTGCTAAGAGAAGGAGAGATGCAGGTGTTCTCTGCTCTTAAGGAATGGGAGCTGGGACCCATGGGATCCCTACCCTGTCCCACACTATCACTGACAAGTCTGAGCCAGCAACCGGTCCATGGGGTTTAGCTGAGACACCATTTTCAAAAGATAGTCTCTAAAGTCAAAGTAATGTGTTGGGGGAAAAAAAATGGACAGTATCCAGAGAGTTTAAGGAACTATGTCAGAAGCGGAAGACATGTCAGGAGACACTGTGTAAAATGTATGTCAGTAGTTGAAGGACCTAGAAATTCTTCTAATGTCACAGGCCAGTCTCAGGGTAGAGTTAAAGCAAGGTGGAACCAAGCAGGGGAGCATAACTAAAAAAAAAGTAATGGGAACTCTCTGTAGTTACCTTCTCAATTAAAAAAAAAATCTAAAGCTCAACTCTCTTAAAAATAAGGCAAATCCTCCTGGAGGCCGGAGCCCCTGATGCCCCCTCACCTGCCACAGCCAGCTCCAGGTCTGCACTGTACGGGGACCAGCTGAATTTCTTCCTGTACCGGCACTGGTACCGGCCTGCGCTGTTTGCGTCCATGTGGTTAAGGATGAACTTGGCCTCCTTCTGGATTCCCAGCTTCTTCTCCACCTCCTTGTAGGAAGAGTTCTTCAAGCTCATCAGTTGGTACAGGTAAGACTCTGAAGTGCCTTGGCACCGGATCCTTGCAGATCCGTTCCAGGGAATCACAGGGCCTGACTCTGCAGATATGATGGGCCTGGGAAAGTCTCCTGGGGGAAGGTAAAGCCTAGACTCAGTCAGTTGCCACTGGGAAACCAGTCCTGACCTTCTCTGTGGGGCAGGGGGGATGCAAGTAAATGAATGCATGAAGGACCTACAATTCTTTATTTTTTAGGTATTTTTTGTACGTAAAATAAAGCATGCCATTTTGCGCATGTTAACATTAATTCAGTGGCATTGATTATATTCACCATGTTATGTGACCATCACCACTGTTTTCCAATATTTACTTATTAGATTAGATTTTTCTTTTTTTTTTTGAGTCAGAGTCTCAGTCTGTCGCCCAGGCTGGAGTCATGGCTCACCAAATTCTCGACCTCGTGGGCTCAGGCGATCCTTCTGTCTCAGCCTCCCCAGTGGCTGGGACGGTAGGCACCATGCCACCATGCCCAGCTACAATTTTTTTTTGGTAGAGAGAAGGTCTCGCCATGTTGCCCAGGCTGGTCTTTAAACCCTGGGCTCAGGAAATCCTGTTACCTCGGTCTTTCAAAGTGCTGGGACTACAGGCATGAGCATGCTGCCTGGCCTATTTTCTAACATTTTTGCTTCCCCAAACAGAAAGTGTACACATTAAGCAATAACTTGCCACTCATCCTAGCCACAGTCTCTGTTAACCTCTAATCCACTTTTTGTCTCTAGGAGTTTCACCACTACCTCATAGAAACAGAACTGACAGTGTTTTTATGTGTGTGTGTGTGGGTGTTTGGCTTATTGTCTTAATTTAATGTCTCTTGGACTCTAGAGAGATCAGGTTGTGAAAACAGAATAGATTTGACTTAGGGAAGGATGGTGGGCGGGGATGACGTCTGCTTCCTCATTTTTGCAGTTGTGAGCATTCAGTAAGCTGCAAGGCCTTCCTGGGGAAATAGGCTCACCCGGCACAGGCTGTGAGATGGACACGTGAAAGGGAAGCACGGTAGAGATGACTAGAATCGGGAGTAAAATTGGCATCTATGGGGGGGGACCTAAAAAAATAGGATTATCTTTTGGAGGGCGGGTGCCTTGTAGTGCAGGTGTCCCCCTCAGAGTAAGTGTTCTAGGAAGCCCTCAGCATCTGTGCACCAGTGGGCATTGTTGTGAAAGGCTGTGTTGCAGAAGAAATGTCCCGAGCTGTGGCAAACTTGTGACTGGCTCTTCCACCATAGCAATGCATCTGCTCATCCCATGTTGAGTGAGTTCAGCAGTTTTGGACTAAAAACGGCAAGACTCCCTTGCCCCATCCTCCCTATTCACCCGTCCTGCCCTGAGTGACTTTTATCTGTTTCCCTGAATGAAAGGTGACCTCAAAGGGAAATGTCTGCCAATGTGAAAGAGGTGAAATAAACACGGCAGAAGCACTAAAAGGCATCGAAATAGATGAGTTCAAAAACTGTTTTGAGTAGTGGAGAAAACATCTCGACAGGTGTATTGCCTCAAACGGAGAGTATTCTGAAGGTGACAGAAGTGTAAACATGTAAGAACAAATGCACATTTTTAAAATAAAGAAAGCCTGATCTTTTGGGTTTCCCCCTTGTATCTGGGCTGCAAACTCTCCCTCCATTCCCTCTGTCCTGGAACTTCCAAGAGGGTCTAAAGACACTGGGGAAGATTTAAGGAACACTCACCTTCCTGTGCCTGCATCTTCTGGCTCAGACAGAACACTGGAAGAGAGAGATTCATGAAAACTCAGTCCTCTGGTTTGCTGTCTTTATTACAAATCATTCTACATAATGACATGCAGAGGAATATGGGGTTCGCAAACACTTTTTTTCTTCCACAGAAAGCACAGTTTTTTGGGCTGTTTTTTTTGAGATGTCATCTCATACCACTTATAATGACTTTTATTAAAAAGTCAAAAAACACAACAGATATTGGCAAGGTTGTGGAGAAAAGGGAACATTCCTACACTGTTGGGAATGTAAGCTAGTTCAGCCCCTGTGGAAAGCAGTTTAGAGATTGCTCAAAGAACCAAAAATAGATTTACTATTTGACCCATCAGTCCCACCACTGGGCATATACCCAAAGGAGTGTAAGTACCTCTACAAAAAGACACCTGGACTTGTATGCTTATGGCAGCACCATTCACAGCAGCATAAACGTGGAACCAACCGAAGTGCCCACAGTGGACTAGACAATGAAAATGTGGCACATATAATAAACATTATGGGGAAAAATATACTATGGATAACTACACAGCCACAAAGAGAACAAAATCATGTCCTCTGCAGCAATGTTGATGCAGGTGGAGGCCATTATTCTAAGTTAATTAACATGAATACAGAAAACAATACCACATGTTCTCACTTATAGTGGGAACTAAACACTGGTACACACAGACAAAAAGATGGGAACAACAGGCACTTTAATAGTGGGGAGAGAGAGAAAGGAGCAAGGATTGAAAACCTACCCCTTGGGAAACTGCGAGGGGAAGAAGAGACACACCCCATCAACAAGGGTACCCGTGTAATCAGTGTCCACACACCCAACACTGAATTGTACCCCACATCTCCACAACAACAACAACAAAAAGTATCTGATATACATAAAAATCAATAGAAATGGCTGCCCAGGCTGGTCTCAAACTCCCGGGCTCAAGCAGTCCTCTTGTCTCGACCTCCCAGAGTTCTGGGATTACAGGTGTGAGCCAACACACCTGGCCAGAAGGCACAGTTTTGAGGCTCATCCTTCAGTTTAATCTTCTAGATTCCAGCTTCTAAGTTTCTCATTTATAGGAACCCCGGAACTGTCATGGACCCTAGACAGCATGCCATGGGTTGAATGGAAACAATTGAGCACCATGATCTATCCTGGACTTGGGCAGAAAGAGTGTCACAGATATTTGGGCAAAGAAGATCTCTCCACCAAGATCAGGTCTCCCTGATAGCCACTCAAATGACCGAGTCCTCATGTTAAGAGATGCCCTGACTATCGTGGGACTCCCCCACCCTCCTCTCTAGCCCACTTTGATTTTGAAACTCACCAAGATAGAGGAGGGTGGTGTCTCTGGGGAACATGATGGCGACACAGCCTTGGCCCTGTTAGACTCTTGTTGGTGTACATTAGCAGAATGATGAATACTTATAAGACTGCCAGTTCCAGAGGAAGTGTCTGGTAAGAGACCTTCGTCAGAGAATTTCTACATCCATTGCCTCATAAGAAAGAGGAGCAGTTCCTTCCCAAAGAACTTAGTTCTGGGTTGCTCTAGGGTGGGGTCCCGGAGAAGACTTACAGGTCCAACAATTAAGTTTGTGAACTCATCGTAGAAAAAGTGCTACATACCTCACTATGAATATCACTATGGTCAACTTTGAAGAACTTCCCTTGGGGAGTTATGCACTGATGCCAGCTCCTAGTCCACTCGTCAAAGTAATTTTGGAACTCTTTTTCTGGAATGGCCACCAGAGCCATTGTCATATTACCCTTGATGTCCTGAATGTCATCAAAATGTCTTCCTTTCAATATTTCCTTTATCTTCAGGTAAAGAAAAGAGTCACTGGGGACCAGACCAGGGGAATAGGGAGAGTGTTCCAATACGGTTATTTGTTTACTGGTTAAAAACTCCCTCATAGACAGCGCTGTGTGAGCTTGTGCATTGTCATGATGTAAGAGCTCCTTCAGGGCCATTTTTGCACATACCTTTTTCATGGCAAGATTTTCAGTTAAGAGTTTCCTGTTTCTTTATTGATGTTTATTTGGTTTGCTCTGCTTCTCACTGCTGGCCAATGATTTTGACATACAACTTGACACATTTTTGCAATGTTTTTGTCAATTCTCTTCATGACTGGCTGTCCTGACTTCTCTTCATCAGTGACATTTTCTCTCCCCTCAGAAAAACATTTAATCCATTTATACACTGTCATGTTCTTCATGGCATTATCCCCATACACTTGGACTAACATGTCCCTGATTTCACCTCCATTGTTGCCAAGTTCAACAAGAAGTTTAATGTCTGTTTGTTGCTCTGATTCAAGGTCCGACATTCTTGCACAGGCACACAAAAACATGCAACAACAATAAGGCATGCCACACATCAGGACACCACCTCATGTTGGAACACAGCTGTGAGACATGGATACACCAAGGTTACGAAACATTACTGAGTTTGTAATATGCTGCCAATGTAAATGCATGGTGGCAAGTTCACAAACTGAATTGTCAGACTTTGTATATTTCGTTTTATGTTTCAGATGACAAGTGAGTGTTTCACTCAAATCAATGTCTAATGGTGTTCAGATCCATCTTTGAACCACAACTGCAAATGGAAAGGGCTAGGTAGAATATAAGGTGGATGCCACGTATACAGAGATTTTCTTCATTGGACCATCAGTCAGAAGCCATGAGGCCTTGCCTGGTCTGGACCCACGTGTTATCTCTGTGATTCATGGACAAAGTATATTTACTTGGGCTTGGTCAGGCATACAGTATATTCCTGCACTGGAGGTTATCTTCAGTATGTAGAGGCATTGTCTCTGGTGCTATTTACCATCTTTAAAGAAAGAAACTTGCATTCTATATTATCATTTTATTTGGTAGTAAAATCCTGGCTATCACTAATTCATCAAGCACAGGAAGCCAAATATTCCAAATGAAATTTTCTACTAATTATTTTCACTGTCAGGCATCATCACTTCTGCCTTCTTTCTTGGGGGGGGGTGCAGGAGCTGAAACCATCCAAGTTTTATTGCATCCGCTACAAAGTCAACTAACTCTTAATGATCATCTAAGCAGAAAAAGGTCAAAATTTACTCTATGTTAAAGTAGGGAATGGGGGTAGGGTGGTAGGAGTTTGCTTATTTCTTTTTGGTTCAATCAATCGTTGTGACAGCTTCCCAAGAGTTCTTCCCAACACCAAGATAATGGACATGAGAGTCAGAAGGGATCAGGTTTCAGCTCCCTGAGTGATCGAAGACCACCTGGCTGTGAGGACCTTCAAAGCCGGCCCTGTCTACAGCTTGTAATGAAAAGGATAATCTGTTTTGTAATAAAAAACAAGACCCACACAAACAGACCCAGCGCCTCTGAGCACCTTTCACCTCACCTCCCTCTTCCTCAACAAGGGCCAGCGACGCACATTGTCATCCAGTTCTGCCTCAAAAAGAGCAAACAGTAGATCTGCCCTCTAATAACGTCCCAAAGTGTTACAAATCATAAAAAGGACACATAAAAATCATCGTGGAGGTGGCTGAACGTGAACCGCAGAAGGATTGACTCTTCTTAATCCCTGGCATCCAGCTGTGCTCTGACTGGTTACTTCCTCCACTTTTGCCTTCTCACACACCTAGTATTTTGAAGTCCTGAACTTTTCTCATCTTTCAGTAGGTAGATCAGCTCCCACAATGGCTATTTCATTTTGTGTACATTTTTTTTTTGAGTCAAAGTCTCACTTTATCACCCAGGCTGGAGTGCAGTGGCACAATCATGGCTCATTGCAGCCTTAACTTCCTGGGCTCAGGTGATCCTTCCACCTTGGCCTCCCAGGTAGCTGGGACTACAGGGACATGCCACCATGCCCAGCTCATTTTTGATTTTTTTTTGTAGAGATGATGTCTTGTTATGTTTCCCAGGTTGTCTTGAATTCATGGGCTCAAGCGATTCACCTGCCTCTGCTGTCCCAAATACTGGAAATACAGGCATGAGCCACTGTGTCTGGCCTTTGTGTAAATTTAAATTGTGCTTTTTCTTTTACCATATTTTGTTAATTTCCACATACATATTTACTTTCAGACACCTGGATATTTGATGATATAGATTGCATAAAGTGTATCATAATCTAATTTTCTTTGTGGTGATTTTTGCCTTATTTATTTGCTTATTTATTTGTTCTCACTCAAGTGGGATTTGGGAAAAAGAAAATAATGGCTTTGCTCCTAGTTGGGTATTTGAAATGAGTAGAGGAGTAATGGAAAATTCAGATTTTAAAGGTAAAATGACCTGATTAATGATACTATTTTTTGACTGGTGTGGTGGCTCATGCCTGTAATTGCAACTCTTTGGGAGGCTGAGGCAGGATTGCTTGAGCCCAGGAGTTTGAGTTCAGTTTGGGTAATGTAGTGAGATATCTTTACAGAGAAATAAAAAAAATTACCTCGATGTGGTGGCACACACCTGTATTCCCAGCTACTCAGGAGGCTGAGGTGGAAGGGTCGCCTGAGCCCAGGAAGTCAAGGCTGTAGTGAGCTGTGATTGTGCTCTCCAGCCTGGGCCACAGAGTGAGACTCCAACTTAAAAAATGACATCTATCTATCTATCTATACATATATATATATTATTGCTGTTGCTTAAAAATGATGATTTTTCTTTTGGGGAAGATACTAACTGATTGGATTTCAGGAAACTCACTGGGTCACATTAAATAGTGGGTAGGGACAGATTGTGTTAACTGACCACAACATTTGGAGTAAGTTTTTTCTTGTTTTCTCCTTTAGTGGAGCAGGGATGATAAAATGTCCTCTAATTTTTTCCCACATTAATTTCAATTTCATTAGCTTCTGTTCTGCCCTGAGTCTGAATAACTAAAGATGAAGCCTTAAGTTGAGGCATGGACCTAGGGGTGTCAAAAAGCTTTACTGGCCCTCTGCTAGGCATAACCCCCAAGCCCTGGCAATAAGGGTCAGCCACCAGTTTCTGTAAAGGGTCATGTGGTGAATTTAGGCTTTGTGAGCCATATGGTCTCTGCTATAGAGAATCAATTTTGTGATTGTCATGGAAGCAGCCACTGATAATAACTAAATGAATGAGCATGGATGTGTTCTAATAAAACTTTATTTACAAAAATGGGTAGAGGGCCAGGTTTGGCCTCTAGGCTCACTGGATTGATCACTGCCTGCTCTAGGGATTATCTTATAGTACTTATTTGTTTAGGTGGTTAGGGTCTTGACAATAATAAAGTGGTGCCTTGTTGTTCATTGTTGTTTTTTTTTGAGTCACAGTCTCACTCTGTCGCCCAGGTTGGAGAACAGTGGCACGATCACGGCCATTGCAGCCTCGACCTGCTGGGCTCAGGCAATCCTTCTGCCTCAGCCTTCCAAGCAGCTGGAACTATAGGCATATGCCACCACGCCTCGCTACTTTTTGGAGTTATTGTAGAGACAAGGTCTCACCAAGTTGCCCAGGCTGGTCTTGAACCCTTGAGCTCAGGCATTCCTCTCACGTCAGCCTCCCACAGCGCTGGTATTACAGGCTTGAGCCACCCTGTGCCTGGCCTGCTGTGATCTTTGATTGAACACATGTCTCTCCACTGGCTTATGGAGAGCAATAACTTTAGTCTTGATAAGAGTCAGGTACACATGTGGATTGACTTCATCACCATCTTTACTGCCAGGGATACCTCTGTTAGCTCTGACACTTTTTTTTGAGTCAGAGTCTCAGTCTGTCACCCAGGCTGGAGTGCAGTGGCATGATCACAGTCACCACAGCTTCGACCTTCCGGGGTCAGGCTATCCTCTCGCCTCAGCTTTCCAAGTAGCTGTAACCACAGGCAAGTGCCACCTTGCCCAGCCAATTTATTGCTTTATCATAGAGATGAGGTCTTGTCTCATCAAATTGCCCAGGCTGGTCTCGAACCCCTGGGCTCAGGCAATCAACTCACTTCTACCTCTTGAAGTGCTGGGATTACAGGTGTGAGTCCCCATGCTTGGCTAGCTCTGACGTTTCTCAATGCAACGAAGGAAAAAAAAAAAAGAGATCTCAAACAGATGGTTCCTTCTTGTAATTTTCTCACAGTGAATGTTAATATTTTGGGAAGTGTTCCCAAGCATTCTACATTTAAATTTTCATACACTTCTTAGACTAAATCAACAAGTGGGAGACTTTCTAAATCAACACATGGAAGACTTTGTGGTTGAATCAAATATCACCACTGCTAATCTATGAAACAATAATTTCTCCCATGTTTCTTTTTTTTTATAATCAATATTATTTATTATGATATTGTGGGGTACAGTTAAGTGTTAGGTATACAAATATGCTTTGTTCAGGCACCCTTGTTGATAAGAGGTGTCTCCCCATCCCCAGA